TCTGATAAATCAACATGGCCTATGACCCAGCAATAGTACTGGCTGGGCAGTCATCCCAGAGAAATGGAAAGTTAGATCCATATAAAAGCCTGCACACGACTGTTGGAGCAGCTTTATTCCTAACAGCCCCAGCTGGAGATAACCCAGAGTGCCTCATGAGCAACTGGTGCTGCGGCCCATCTACAGTCTGGAATACTAATCAGCAACTGAAAACGTGGAACTCCTGACACATAACAGACCCTGATGAGTCTCCAGGACGCTGCTGGGTGAAAAAGGCCAATCCCCAGCAGTTACACAGCGTGTGATCCTGTTCACACTCTTGAAATGGCAAAATTAGCGAGAAGGGAACTAGAGCAGTGAGTGGTTGGTGGGGGTCGCGGAGGGGTTGGGGTGGAAGGACAGAGGGCATGAGGCTATTTGAGGGCTCCAACGGGGCTGGCGTGTCCTGGGTCTGGACCCCATCAAGGTCACCATTCCTGCTGTTACCCGGTACCGGAGCTGTGCCTGGTGGTACCACCGGTGGGACGTGAATGAAGCGAACATGGATCTCTGCGTTCTTTTTTACAACCGCCTGGGTAGCCACAGTGATCTCCAAATCACAGTAGTTTAAAAGCTACTTCCAACACAACACGTGGGAATGGTCTGGATCCCGGTAGAAATAAAGCACATATGACCTTGATTGTGGACAGCCAGAAACTTGAATACCGACTGGGTATCTGGCCAGATTTTGACCACATTAAGGTGCCAGCATTAAATGTTTTAGGTGGGCAGTTATTTTTAGAGTCCTTCTCCTGGAGAGACACAGACTGAAATGGTTACAGATGCAATGATGTGACCAGGGTTTGCCTCCAGGTCTGACCAGTGGCAAGGCCTGGATGGGGTGGAGGGGGCAGTCAGGTCCCGGGCAACGGTAGCTGGGGTGGTGATGGACACACGACTGTTGCCAGCCTGTCTGTTTCCTGTGTTCAGTTTTTCATACTAAAACCCCTTGTGAGCGGTACCCGTACACACTTTCCCTGTCCTCGTCTTCCATTGACTGTTTTAGAGTCCTGCCCCCAGAGCTGACTGAAGACACGTGTCAAGTCCACTGAACATCTTTTTCTTCACCTCACTTGACCTCTGGGTCACGCCAGACGTGGCTGACCGCCTTCCTCTCCCCATGTTCACTCGCCATCACCTCCCATGCCCGAGCCCACCCAGGCCCTGACCCCACTTTGATGCTTAGGTCCAGGTATGACCAACCTCTGTGCCGATGGTCCCACAAAAGTGTTGTGCGAAATGCTATTTCCTGCCCTTCACCTGACAATGTAAGTGGCTCAGCCTTACTTGAAAGAGCTGTGAGGGACGTAATTTCCAGCATATTATAAATATTGACTACTTAAAATAGTTCTGTGGCTCTTTAAGCATGTCTTTTGGAATCGAAGCACCAGAGTGTGACATCCGGTCATGGGGTATGCGGACAAGCTCTTCCCCCACTTCAGGAGGCGCTTCTGTCTCTACCAGCGTGTGTTTCCATCACTGCAGGTGTTAAACCCCACGTGTTACACTGGTGCCTGAAATGACTACGGATCACCTTTTACACAAATACATCAAACCGGTCTTGATTTTCTAGGACCCTGAGTCTGTGGTAACTTCTCCTGGACTGAGCTATCGTTCCAATAACTGGGACACCACTGATCGAAATGGAAAGGCTGCCCACGCCGGTGGCACACAAGTTGGGCTTAATGAGGCAAACGGGGCTTCCTCCCCAGTCCACTCACGAACGGTGGAATTTGATTCAGCTCTGTTCCTGTCCTCTGTTCTCACAGATGTGAGTGCAGAAAGCTCTGCTCCACAGGCAAGCAATTTTGCGGGGGAGGCGCTCTGTCACTACTTAGCGACAACCACTGCCCGAAGTTGCCCAGACACCGTGATGCCCACACACCTGTGAGCTGACCACGGCCCACACCGAGACTGGGGCTGGGGGTCGTCATGTCCTGGATGACGGGAGGCACCTTTCTTAAGCCGGGAGCACTTCAGGAAGGTGAGGACTAGGGCCACGAGCACTGGGCAAGGGTCTCTCCCACCTTGAGGACAAATTTAAAAATGCTGCTGTCTCCTGGGCCCTGATTCCCCGACCACTCCCCAACCCGCACACCTGTCACCTGACTTCAGTGACGGGCACCTCCTGTCACCCCCTGCACCTTCCCCACAGTCCAGCAGCAAGGCCTGCCTCACTTTAGAAACACTCTTTATCCTGTCCTGACATCTCATTTCCCCTCTGCCTCCAGCCTGCTTCTAGGGGAAAGACACGGATTTGCTGGACCCCTGCCCAAAGCCCCCAGGGGTGTCCGGCTCTCAGGGTGAACTCTGAGTAGAATACAGCCTGTGCTGCCCTGACTCGGCCACACAAAGCTTGCTGCCACCCCAGGGCCTATGCACTTGCCCTCACCCCAGATCTCCACTGAGGAACACCGGTTTCCACTCAGACAGCCCCTCCTCAGATAGACCTTCTGGGTCCCCACTGCTCAAGTGCACCTACCCCTGCCCAAACCCCCACCTCCACCTGCCACCCTTCCTGCCTTCTCCTCCAGGCTCCAACCACTATCCATCTCCTCCCCTCCAGAACATTCGATCCATGGGGCAGGGCCTTCTCTCTTGTTCTCTGCACCAGGGAAGTCCTTGTTCTCTGCAGCACCGGGCAAGTGACAGCTGCTTGATGGATGGCCCATGAATACACATACATGAACTGTTTGAGATGAACTCAGCAAGTGTCGTCATGGGTCACAACTGTGAAAAGGAGGCTGAGAAAGCATTTGAGTCCCTGCTCACAATCTCAACCTCTCAAATCCCATGTCCAAGAAACAGCTGCCTTCAATCTCTCTTAAATCTGCAGAATGGGTGCAGTGTTCTTCTCCTGGCCTTCGACACAGACAATGGTATGTGAGATGTATATGCCAAGCTAACGGAGTTCTTTCTCAAATACAATTATTCCCAGAAAAGCTATTATCCTTGCAGTTGTTTTTTTAATAGGTGTTCTGGAAAAATATAAATGTTTTCCCTGTTTACAAAATAGAACATATTACTGCTGCATTCTTTGTTGACAACTTTTCTGCAAAAATATGAATCAAAGATATAGAAGAAAAAAACTACATAGGATAAATCCTACTATTTTTCCTCTTCAAAATTCAAACTATAGTTCTTTCTTAACCATTCACCACCATAAGGTAGTGATGTCAAGGAAATGCGGAGAAGCAGAGTGAAGCAGTGAAAATGTGGAAAATGTGAAAATATCCAGGTTTGAAACAAAATACGGTAGTGGTGTGTGTGTAGTGGGGTGGAGAGAGAACTGGGCAGGCTGACTTACAAAAACAAAGTGTCCACATCATTACAGGTTCCAGGGAGAGTTCATACTGTTGCCTCTTAAGATTTGTCACAAAACCAGTTGCTCATTTACTTTTCATCCTTAAAAATACTTCCAGGAACTTAACAGTGTTCTCCAAATTGATATGGTGAGTCCTGATTTTATGACAGTGGTTTAGGCAAACGTAGTATTTGTGGGCTGGCAGCTTTAAGTATGTACACGGTTCCACGTGTCTCTGATCACACACATTTTTCTACCATTTTAATCTACCCATGGTGTACCCAGTGGTGGGGAGGGGGCAATTTCTGAGCGTTTGTGGATTAAAAAAAAAAATCTCAGCCACTACATTAAGAGCTTAATAAACACATAATAACTATAACCATCAGGTAGATGGATATTTCCACAGGGCGTTTCCACTTATCCCCTCAAAGCTGACCCTCACCGGTCCGACATCCTCTCCAGAGGCCACATGGCCTGCTGGTCCACCTGTCCGCGCCAGGGCGGGGCAAGCGCACCCCTTCCCAGCACAGCCACCCACCCGGAGAGCGGGCACATGTCACCTGTCCATGGGTTTCACTATCCTGCCTCTGTCACGCAAGGGTTTACACAAATGGGATGCAGGGTGCTCTTGGGGGTGGGGGTGGGGTGGGCAGCCCCACCGCCCAAATTCAGGGGTCTGCCTTTGTAATCGCAGGAGCCAGGGGCCCAGGGACCCTCCCCGAGCGCCCCCGCAGGCTGGGACAAGGACTGGGGAGCGTGACATCACGAGGGACCGTCGGCGACGAGGGCGCCCGGGGGCGGGACCGCGGGCCGGGGGCTGGGGGCGGCGGACCCCCCGCGCCGCGCCCACGGGCGAGCGCGGCCCCGGCCCCGCGCCGGGAGCCGGCCGGCCGGGGTGCGGGGAGCGGCGGGGGGCGGCGGGCGGCGGGGCCCGCGGCGGGGCCGGCGGCGGCGGGCGGGCGGGCAGGCGGCGCGCAGGGCGATCCCGGAGCGGCTCCGGGAAATCCAGCCGGGTTTTGACTCCGATCGCCCACGGTGCCCGCAGCCGGCGAATGTAACAAAGAACAGGCGGCATGGCGGATGGACCGGGGCGGGCGGCGGGCCGGGCGGGGCCGGGGGCCGCAGGCCGGGCCGGGGCGCGCGGGGGCGGGCGGCCGGGGGCGGCTGGCCGGGGCGGCGCGCTTGGGGGCGGGCGGCGGGCGCGGGGCCCGGGTTTTACCTGCCTTTGGAATGTGCAGAGCGGGATCGGATCCGGACTCCGGGTTGCGATCCGCTCCGGAAACTGCGCAGCACCGGAAGCCGGGGGGCGGCAGCGGGGCATTGTGGGAGTTGTAGTCCTCATGGGGCGCCGGCGGCGTGGACGCGAGAGCCTGGACAGGAGAGCGGGAGCGGGCTGTGTGGGCCTGGACTGGGCGGTGTGGCCGCGGAGCGGGCGGTCTGGACTGGAGAGCGGGCAGGGCGGACCGGGAGCGGGTGGTGTGGACGGGGCAGCGGGCGGCGTGGACTGGAGAGCCCGGGACTAGGCGGTGTGGACGCGGAAGCGGGCGGCATGTACCAGCGAGCAGCAGGGCGCCGGTCGTGTGGGCCGAGAGGAGGTGGCACAGGGCGGTGGAGCGGCAGCGGATGCGATGGACAGGGCAGTGGGATTGCGGACCGCATGGACGAGGGGGGCCGGAGCGGCGTGGACTGGACTGTGGCAGGGCGCGGGCGAGGCGTGGACCGGCCGCTGGGTGAACGGGCGGTGTGCCGGATCGGCCGGGAGACGCGTGCCGGGTTCCGGCTGCCCTTTCCCCGGGGCCGGAGGGGGCGTCAAGCGGCCGCGCGCGCCCCTTCCCCCGTGGCGCGGCGGGTCCAGATACCCACGACGGGTTCGCGGGTTCGCGTTAGCAACTCGCACACCCCCACCCCGCGCGGACCTTTCTTCTGACGGCTCCTTCGAGACTTAATTTCCTGGGGCGGGGGGGGTGAAAGAGTTGAAGTTTCTGTTTTTCTAACTTATTTATTTTTTTAATTGAAGGATACTGCTGTACAGAGTTTTGTTTTCTGTCAAACATCAACATGAATCAGCCATAGGGGCACCATGTCCCCTCCCTCCAGAACCTCCCTCCTGTTTCCTCCCCCATCCCACTCTTCTAGGTTGTTACACAGCCCCTGTTTGAGTTCCCTGGTCATACAGCGAATTCCCATTGGCTATTTATTTTACATATGGTATGGCTGAAACTCCAATACTTGGACTACCTCATGCGAAGAGTTGACTCATTGGAAAAGACCCTGATGCTGGGAGGGATTGGGGGCAGGAGGAGAAGGGGATGACAGAGGATGAGATGGCTGGATGGCATCACCGACTCGATGGACATGAGTTTGAGTAAACTCCGGGAGTTTGTGATGGACAGGGAGGCCTGGCGTGCTGCAGTCCATGGGGTCGCAAGGAGTCGGACACGACTGAGCGACTGAACTGAACTGATTGTAAATTTCCATGTTACTCTTTCTATACATCTCAACCTTCCCCCACCACCCCACCCCGCCCGTGTCCATAAGTCTGTTTGCTGCCCAGGAATAACGGTTTCTGAATTTAGCCCACGGAGCTGCTTGCTACCCTTCTTGGTCATCTTTCTGTCCACTTGGTAAAGGCTTAGAGGCTCTTGACCTGCCCGCCAAGCTCATAAATTAGAGCAGCTCACTGGTGAGTGGAGATCCTGCCATTTCAGTCCAGGCCCTGGGAGTCCCCAGAGTTCTGCCTTAACCACTGCCCCACGTTGCGCTGTGCCAAGTACCTACAGGCACCCCGGATGCTGCGAACTTGAGTCCAGCGCACCCCTGCCTGGCACTAACTGTTTCTGTCCACTCTGCCTTCCACCCAAGCTTGGGGGAGGGATGGGGCTTGTATGGTCTCAACCCCTATCATTCACTGAACAAACAATCACAAAGGAATAGAAACAGAAGAGACCAGAAGGATCCTCATCTAGTCCTGGGCGCTCAGATTTGGCAGTGTAGCTGCCTTGTACATTTCTGCCTGGCAAAAACTCATTAAGAAAATCAAAGAGAGGGACTGAACTGAGAGCAATGATTTGAAATTGATATTAGAAAGGGCTCCTTCCCCTAATATATATAAAGCTCTTAAGAACCAATAAGAAAAAGATAAAGAACCCAACAGAAAAATGAACAGTCTATGGACAGTTCACAGAAAATACAATGATTCCTACGTATGTTAGTCACTCAGTCATGTCTAACTCTTTTTCAACCACATGACTGTAGCCCTCCAGGCTCCCCTGTCCACGGGATTCTCCAGGCAAGAATACTGTCCATGCCCTCCTCCAGGGGATCCTCCCAACCCAGGGATCGAACCCAGGTCTCCCACATTGCAGGCAGATTCTTTACTGCCTGAGCCACCAGGGAAACCCATAGGAAATGCTAACCAACTATATTACTGCAGCTGTGTATGTAAGCAAAATTACAGTGAGATCATTTTTATCTCTTACATTAGCAAAGATTTTCAAAGTTTAATAGCATGATTTTGAAGAGCCTGTAGAGAAACAAACGGTCTCATCTTTTCCAGGTTCAGATGTAATCAGCACAGCCTCCATCTGGGCCATCTGTTAATATCCACAGAAATCTTCCATGCACAGAACCTTTGACCCAGCAGTTCCACCTGCAGGAATTTATCCTTTGGCCGGACTCATACAAATCAATCTGTGTAGAGGTTGATCTTTTTTTTCTTTGGCCGCACCTTGAGGCTTGTGGGAGCTTAATTCCCTGACTAGGGATTGAACCCACGCCCTGGGCAGTGAAGTTGATCTTAATTTCCCATCAGCAGGGCGTGTCCTGCTGACAGGACTGGGGAGGAAGTGCTGCTGGGGCTCCTTTCTCTGCCCCTCCCCACGCTTGCCTCCCCCACCTTGACAGTCTTCCCCAGTGACTGCCTGGTGGCAGTCTCAGTAGGTCCGCATCACTGCCACCATCACCTGGATCACCTTACCTGTGCCTCCTCAGTTCCACCCTGCTGAGTCCCACCCAGTGGTGAGATTCCAACCTTCTGTTCCTTGAACACGTTGCCAAGGTCTACATTCACCCCTATATCTTGGGACATGTTCCCAGGTTCTCCCCATCATTCAGGTCTTTGCCCAAGTGCACCCCAACTCCCAAGAGCCCCAAACTGACCACAGCAGCTAATGTGCAACCCCCACCAACACATCCACCCCTCTTGAAACATCACTCCCAGGTCTCATCCCTGATGGCTGGTTCTCTGCTCTCTGCACACCAAATAAGTGCTGGTATATATGCACAGAGAAGGTTGTTTACAGAAAACGAAAATGACCTGAAGGTGTTCCTCATAGTGATGGCATTCAGCCTGGGGCTGGAATCCACATTCCCCAAGGTCATTGCATTTTCACAAGAATTCTCAGTCTGTTCAGTGTATTCCATCTCTGAGGGCTGGAAAGAACTCATTTAAAGGCAGATTTGTATCCAAAATGATAAGGTCTAGGGGGAAAAAAAGTTTGTTGCTGGAAGTTTCGAACTCTAATTGTTAACGACAAACTCATAACAGGTCTTCCCTGAATCCCAGACAGGAAAACAAAAAACACCTATAAAGGATGTCATGGAGGCAATCAGGAAACGTGAATATGGACTGTGATACTGAATTGCAGTATTGCATCAATGTTAAGTTTCCCTGGCATGATCATTGTGTTAATGATATGAAGATGCCCCTGTTCTTAGAACCAGACACGAAACAACGGGCTGTGATGGCTAACGGTGAACAGTGTCAGATTCGTGATCTCCGAAGAAGATTTAACTTTGGGACCAGGGACCAGGCTTGATCACCCAAGAGCTTTTGTGTAGCAGAGCTTTATTAAAGTGAGAAAGCTTCTGACATAGACATCAGAGGGAGACGGAGAGTGCCCCCTGCTAGTCTTTAGCCAGATGTTTTATGTCTGTCAGAAAGCCATTAAGCAGATAAGAGAGACACCTCAGGGCTGATGGAGTTTCACCAGGCCCCTCTCCCACAATATGCATTTTTGAGATAGGATGGCCCAAGGTGTGTCATCCCCCAGCCATAAACAATTGATATGAATACTGGTTTGTTGAGCTATTACCAGCCCAAGGTTTGAGAAAAGAAAAAATAGTCTTAGGTGGAACCATTTTGAAGAAAGGCAATTCCAAAGCAAATACATAGTTTCATTACATAGCTTAAGAAAAAAATTTCCACAAGAAAAACACATGGTTAGCTCAAGGTTTGAGAAAAATTAAGTTCTGGTGGAACCAGGTGTCATCGTGGCAACACAGAAATTTCAAAGACACTTGCAGCCTATTTCCTCCATTTGGACACCCCTGGCATTCCTGCCTGTTACCCTCTCAGCTGGTTCAAAATTGGGAAAGGAGTATGTCAAGGCTGTATACTGTCACCCTACTTGTTTGACCTCTATGCAGAGTACATCATGCAAAATGCTGGGCTGGATGAAGCACAAGCTGGAATCAAGATTTCCAGGAGAAACATCAATAACCTCAGCTATTCAGATGACACCCCCCGCCTTATGACAGAAGAGAAGAGGGATTAAAGAGCCTCTTGATGAAAGTGAAAGAGGAGAGTGAAAAAGCTAGCTTAAAAACAACATTCAATAAACTAAGATCATGGCATCTGGTCCCATCACTTCATGGCAAATAAATAGAGAAACAATGGAAACAGTGACAGACTTTATTTTCTTGGGCTCCAAAATCATTACAGGGTGACTTCAGCCATGAAAATGAAAGATGCTTGCTCCTTGGAAGAAAAGTATGACAAACCTAGATAGCATATTAAAAAGCAGAGACATTACTTTGCCGACAAAGTCTATCTAATCAAAGCTATGGTTTTTCCAGTAGTCATGTATGGATGTGAGAATTGGGCCATAAAGCTGAGCGCTGGAGAACTGATGCTTTTGACTGTGGTGTTGGAGAAGACTCTTGAGAGTCCCTTGGACAGCAAGGAGGTCAAACCAGTCAATCCTAAAGGAAATCAGTCCTGAACATTCATTGGAAGGACTGTTGCTGAAGCTGAAATTCCAGTACTTTGGCCATCTGATGTGAAGAGCCAACTCATTGGAAAAGACCCTGATGCTGGGAAAGATTGAAGGCAAGAGCAGAAGAGGGCAACAGAGGATGAGTGGTTGGATGGCATCACCAACTCAATGGACATGAGTTTGAGCAAGCTCCAGGAGATGGTGAAGGACAGGGAAGTCCAGAGTGCTGCAGTCCATGGGGTCACAAAGAGTTGGACATGACTGACAGAACATGTTCTTAGAAAATGCTTTCTGAAGGATTTAGGGTGAAACATGATGTCCTCAAACAATAATCGATCAATTGAGCACTAGATCCTGGATCGAACAAATGGAGCAAAGCCAGTGAATCTAGGTAAAGGATACATAGGTTATTCTGTAGGTTGGAATTTTAAAAAATAAATTGGGAGAATTAGAAACACACAAGGCCCTTGTGTGTTTGAGTGGCTAAGTCTCCACGCTCCCCATGTAGGGGGCCGAGGTTAGTTCCCTAGTGGGAAATGAATCCTATATGCTACAATTAAAGATCCCACATGCCACAAAGATTTAAGATCCTGTGTGTCAGGAAGTCAAATAAATAAATATGTGTAAAACCCCACATCGACAGAGAAGTGCTTCCCATACTATCAGTGGATTGTCCTTCCTGAACAGAGAGCAGCTGTGACATTAAGATGTCATTGCTTTACTGTGCGGCCCCAGAGTGGGGCTCATGTCCTCAGCCCTGACATTGGCCTGCTTGCTACATGTCTCATAGCTCTGGGTTTTTGTTAATTTAAACATAAAGCTCCTTTGCTAGGGGATACTGTGGACATACATATCCTAAGCTTCACTTCTCCACACCACCTTCAGCTCCTGCTTTCAATCTGGCTAATTCTTCCCATCCAGATAGAGAGAACTAACCAGCAAGTAGTCTCATGCCTACTATGTGCCAAGCAGTGCATCTCATGTTCCGTCATTCTCACCCATAACATAAAGTTCGGGAAAGACCCCATGAGGCCACAAGTCCTTGATCTCTTCAGTTGACACGGCGTAGGGGAGACTAGTGGTCATAAAAATGGGTTCTGCAGTCAAGCAGCCTGGGCTTAAGTTCTGGTCCTGCCAGTTACCAGCTGTGTGATCTTGAGCAAGTGACTTAACCTATCTATGCCTCAGTTTCCTGAGATCATAACTTACAGGGTTGCTTCAAAGAGCATAGAAGTCAGTGTCTAGTAAATACTTTGCAAAATCCTGGCACATAGCAAGCGCTCAGTTTTGGCAATAATTACTGTGATCATGAGTCCTCCCCTGGTATTTCTCTAAAATATCAAGCAGCCCATTGCACCTATACAAACATCCAACTTGATGAATATTGAAAGCATCAGTATCATGAATAGTTCTGAATGCCTGGCACATGCAAGGCACAGCTTGGCCGTTTGTATTACGGACAGTTACGGTTCAGAGCAGAGGTGAGCTGTGGACAGCTGTGGAGGGTGATGCCCCTGGCTCACCTTGGGAAGGGGGCCTGGTCTGGCAGCTTTCTCTTGAGGGCAGGCACTGTGCTAGGTCATTCATGCTGGTATCCAGCCCTCTATGGTGAG